CGGCGGCGGGGGGGTGGCAGAGCCCAGGCAGCCTCTCTGCCCGCTCCCTCCTTCCCTCAGGGATTAGCGGTACCCTCTCTTCTCACCCTGATGCAGCCCAGTGTAGCTGCCGCCTTTTTTAGGGGTTTGCTTGCGTTTGGTTTTTTCCTCCCCATCTTGCTGTGTGCCCACTGTTCCCCCCGCAAACACATTTGTGTTTGCTCCTGCCTGTGTGTTCCTGCTTCCGATGGCCTGCGCCTTGGAAAGCTTCCAGCTGCTCTTGGCGGATGGGCTCTGCAGAGCGCGGCCGAGCCCTGGGGACGCTCCGGGGGGAAGCTCCCTGCCCGCAGCCTGCAAATACCGCCCTGTTTACGGGAGCTGCAGCCCAGGGGAGCCAGGAAGGTTTGTCCTGCAGAAAGGCACCGAACAGCGCAGGGGGAGGCCGGAGCCAGGGGCAGCGCCCGCCCTTCGCTCCCGGTTTCGCTCCCGGGGTGCAGCGAAGCCCGGGGCGCTCCCGCTCCCACGAGCAGCTCGGTCCTTCCCCATCCCGCTGCCCTGCTCCGCGGGAGGGTGCGGACCCCTTTCCTTGCGCAGGGACGAGCCCCGAAGCGCCTCGTTTGGGGCCACCCTGGAGCAGCAGCATCTGCTTGGCTGGGGCTCTCCAGCCCCTCCGCCTGAATGGGTCAAATTTAGCAATTCAAAAATCTGCCTTCGGAGGTAATTAGGAGGGATAATGCCCACTTCTTCCTCTTAACACCCTGCTGGAAAAGCATCCAGGAAGGACTCCTGGACCTCAAAGATAAGCTGCCAGCTGCCACACAGACTATCAAAGGGTGGCTCAAAGTCAAGAGCAAACAGCTGATTTTTTATGGTTCTGGGGTTTTTGCAGAGGGTGACAGGAGGCCCTGGTCCCCACGCTGTTAGCTTCCTGTTTTATTTTTACACCCGCGCGAGCAGCTCCACGTGCCTCTCACATGGGAGCCGCCTGTTTCTGGCGGGTTCTTCCCGAGCTGACCTAGAAAAGCGATTCTTTCCCTTTCTAAATTAATCAAGAACACGGGACGCGTTTGCTTTCGCTTGGTTTTAGAGATTCCGGGCGCGCGTCGCCCTGTGCGTCCGAGTGCCCGAGTTCCCTCCTCTCGCTCGGAGGCGACGGGTCTCTGCGGCGAGGGAGGTTTTTGTGCGTTCAAGGCATTGACTTGCACACGGGAGTGTTTGCAGCCTAAACCGTAGCTTCCAGACGCCTATTTCTGCTTTGATGAAACCCGGGAGCTGGTTCCGAGCGCTGCCCCGGGAATCCCGCTTGCCTCGGGAATCGCGCAGCCCGGCATCCCGAGCGGAGCTCCGGCTCGTCCGAGGGCCGCGGCGGCGCTCCGGGGCGCAGCGGGAGCCTCGGCCTGCGGGGGTTTTTCCAAGGGAAGCAGGGTGCAGCCTGCAGGACAGGGAACAGTCGCCAGCAAGTTTCCTGGTCAGCTGCGAGCGCTTCCTGTTGTTTGAGGAGAGGCCTCTCTGCCTGCGCCTTGGGAGGAGGCTCCTTTCTTCCTGCCTTCTGTCTTCATCCTCTTGCCTTCAGAAAAGACCCTCAGCTTCCAGTTCAGACAGTTTGGAGCAGCTCGCCCAGGACACGGCGGCGGCGGCGCGAGGAGGGCGAGCGCTCCGGGGCGGCAGATGGGTAGGACGGGAGCGGCGGCTGCGGCCGAGCGGGTAGTTTTCCATCCATCCCTGCCCCTCCACCTGAGCTGCTGGGTCCTTTCTGTTACCACGAAGAGGAGAACAGCAGGATCTTTATGTCTGAAGAACCAGTTTTATAAGGGAGGGGAGCAGGGGGGGGAAAGCAGGCTTATAAATAAAGCCATTTGAGAGCAGGAAAAACGAACACCATGGCTCTGGTGTGCCTGGAATTTGCGGTTGAGTAATCCTTTCCTGTTTCTTTTTTGGGTTGTTTTTCATCTTTCAGAACAGTGCCTGAAGCAGGTCCACCATGCCGTTAGTAACGAGGAACATTGAGCCAAGGCACCTGTGCCGTCAGACGTTGCCTAGCGTTCGGAGCGAGCTGGAATGCATGACCAACATCACCCTGGCAAATGTCATTCGACAGCTGGGCAGCCTGAGTGAGTACCATGGCGAGCCTGCGCGCTGCCCTCAGGAGTCGCTCGCGCTCTTTATTTAGCTCCCTTTCTGCTCTCGCGTTCCTATTTCTCCCCCATCTGCCTTCCCTGGGTAATGCTAAAATGTTTTCCTAAAGAAATCTGATGCTAATTTCATATCCCTGGTCCCACCGCCTTCCCGGGGAGAAGGAAAATGGGAAGGGGGGTGGATGTGTGTGCGTGCGTGTGTGAGAGGCTGCAGCAAAACTGCAGATGGGAGGATGGAGCACAACTCGGGCTCGTAAAATGGGAGGCTCTCGGAGCAGCCGGTGTCTTGTGTCGGAGAAAGCGCCTGTAATTGCACGCGCTATTAAATGGAGCTCGGCTGTGTTGCATCTACCGGGTGGCAGTCGTCTTAGTTTTAATGAAAGGTAATTAAAGCGCGCTTGCAGGAGCCAGCCTGTTTGCCCGTGCTGTTTGTTGCCTCGTGAGCCCCCCAAGTCCCCGTTGGAGCAGCGCTTCGCCCTGGGGCACCAGGGCTCGGGCTGCTCCTTCCAGCAGCGGCCGCGGGGCCGAGCTCAGCTCTCCGGGGAGCTGCCCGGGAGCCTCGTCAGGGCCAGAGAGAAAGTGGGGGCCTACGTGCTGCAAGAAAAATAAAGAGTTAATTGTGGTCTCTCAGGAATGACTCCTGGCGCTGTTGAAATGCTCTGGATTCTGATTAGCCACCTTTGCCCTTGAAGCAAGACTAGCAAATACTCCGATAATCAGATTAATGCATGGTTTAGCTTCTCCCTGGTGTCCGGAGCCTTCTGCTGGCGCTGCAAAGAAGGCCCTTGTCCTCTGGTGGAGCTTGCGCCAGCTCCGGCAGAGCCCCTTCCCGTGCGGCTGCTGCCGGCAGGTATCGCGTTCCGCTCAGCTGCGGGAATGTCGCTGCACAGGCAGGAGCAGCCCCTGCTCACGTGCGACTGACCCTCGTCGCTAATTTGTTAGGTTTTGTCTCCAAGATGGTCGTGGAGCGCGAGCGAAATCCATCTTGTGCCTGCGAGCGGAGGAGGAGGAGGGCAGCGAGGCCGCGCGCTGCCCTGCCGCAGAGGAGGCTGATCCCGGCGCGGGCGCGGAGAACGCGGCGCGTTGGCGCGGCAGAGCCCTGCGCCCCGCGGGTCGGACCCGCTCTGTGCAGCTCTGCCCTGCGCCCCGCGGGTCGGACCCGCTCTGTGCAGCTCTGCCCTGCGCCCCGCGGGTCGGACCCGCTCTGTGCAGCTCTGCCCTGCGCCCCGCGGGTCGGACCCGCTCTGTGCAGCTCTGCCCTGCGCTCCCCCGGGTCCTGGGCTGCAGCCCCTGCCCTCCCGGGAAGCGGCCGCGGGATCCCTCTCCGGGATGCGGCCCCGGGTAAGAGGGGAGCGAGGCTCCTGCCCGCTGCCTTCGGGTCTGCAGCGTTTCAGACAGAACAACCACCATTCACACTAACTACTGCAGAACACTCGTCCCCAAACAACTAAGTCTTGTCCCCTGTTGTCCTCCACCTTTTTGCCGCCACTTTGGAAAAAAATCCTTGCTCACACGTTGCATAGTACAGGAATGTAAAGCAGGTTCAGTAGGCTGTGACAGCCCTGTCAAGTGAATAATCAGCCATGCCTAGTGCACCACAGTCTCTTTACAGAGACGCAAACATAAATCTTGTCAAACTTTCATATTCCAGGGAGTTTACCCTTCGTTACTATCACAGCTGGTAGCACTTTGTATAAGTCGACGGTGCATTTGTGTGTGATTTTAGAGAATCCACAAGCTAAAGATGGAAAGACCTATTAAATCATGCCGTCTGTCTTCCTGCCAGTGCATGACAAAGATAATTTTGATTGTAAGCTGCACTTTCGCAGTCAAAGTAACTAAACCAGCAAACTAATCTCTGGCTTAACCCATGTGGGAGCGTGTGTGAAACACGGAGCAGTGCTGGAGATCCTGGACGACAAGCAGGTCCCGGTGTCCTTGCACAGGTAGGGGAATAGGGCCTGTCCCTTCCTCTCCCTCCAGTGTCAAGGCCAGTGTGTGCAGTGCTGTTTATGTGTTGTTTTGTGCTTGGAATGTGCTGCTCAGCACTGCAAACCAAAGGCTTTTTGGTCTTTTCCCTAGTGCTTGCAGCAATTCCTCGTGAAATTCAGGAATGGTTTTCCATTCTCATTAAAAGGAAAGCCAAATTACAGCTTTTCCTCTCCGGGCTGTTCCCAGGAGGTGTCAGGTTGTCCTCTAGCTAAGTCCTTCTCCCTTGGATGACACAGGGCAGCTGCTGCGGTGCTGAACAGAGCGCCCTTCGCGAGCCCGTTCCAGCGGGATCTCCTCGGCTCTGCAGGAATAACCCCCTTCTCCGCGTGCTGGGGAGCCGCTCGAGCTCGTTAGCGGAGCAGAGGGGAGGTTTTGTGCTGTCCGGGCTGCGGGAGAGCGAGGTCGGCTGGAGTCAACCTGCACCGTTTGCATTCCACAAACGCTGCACCGGGAGGGTGGAGGAGGTTGATTTTTAACCCGGCCTGTTCCCCCGCGCTAGGCAGCGGAAGGCGCGCGGCCCGCGGGCGACCGCCGATACGGAGCGGGGAAGGGACGGCTGCTGG